GTCCTGGCTTCCCTAGCACCTCCCCTTGGGAGCTATGACCACACACAAAAAGTACCACAGGGATGCATCCTGAGTGTTCTGAAGTCGGCGCTGACGCTGCTGTATGACAACAGGTAAGAGTGTGACCAATGTTTTAAAGCCATTGTATAAAATTATGCATGCAACCAAACTATGCTGCCTGCCAGGTTTTTCACAGGTTTTGCACAGCAGCGTATTAAGTATTTAGAGCTCATCAAAAGAAGTGCAATTCATTTTGAGAGAAAAAGAGACAGGTCTTTTACAGGGGTGTCCAGAAGGGTGATGCTATGGTGTCACTGGCCACCTCTTGGCTCTGCCCCTGTTTTACACCCGCACACAGCAACAGTGCAACAGAAAGCAACATGAAACAGGTCTATTTTTGCCACTTGACACATGCAGCATGCCACTAGATGCGTGTAAGCATGCATACTTTGTGATAGCTTTTTTGTTCCACTCTTTTGGAAGAAAACAGATATAATGTTAATTGTTTACCAAGATGAGCAAGGACGCATTAGCTTGTAAAGCCATCCAACAGGTGAAGGGTAAACTTAGAATGGTAGATCTGTTTTTGTTAGCTATAACAAACCGAAATATTTTACAAGACATATAATAATAAATAAACACATTTTATAATGATTTCAAAAACTGAAACTACTGATAGTGTCATTGCGCTAGCAAAGACTTTCCTTTCTGCTTCTGCTGTTTTGCTGTATTTCCATGTACTGAGCTGCATATCACTGTAGAAAACCTTGTATCTCCAAAATGAATACTTTACAAGAGAAGGGAAAAAAAAACCAAAAAAAAAAACCATACTTTACCTTTAATGTGAGTCTATGGAAACAGACTTTTTTCCAAGTCATTTTGGGCCGTTTCTTTTGGTCCATTCTTCATGCAATGTACACACAATGTTCTTATGTCAAAAACTGAAAAATGGAGATACAAGGTTTTCTTCCGACAACAGCGATACTGTGTTCAAACTGTATCAAACTTGTAGTGGAGAAATTATTGGGTGTTGTACTCTCTCTTGATATTTGGCTTGATAGATAAGAAATCGCTTGTCGAATGTCTCACAGAAATAGTCAAACAGTTCCATATGACTGATATTTTCACTCTTTATCTACTGCAGCTGTATGAATGCATATGTGCTGACTAGCGCAGGAAAGTGAATGGAACACACAACATTTATAATTACTATTTCTTATTTTTACTACCATTCAAATGTGTGAAGTCATATTCTAACACTCTTGTAGGAATGTTTATTATTGATTTTTGGTCAAATTTTTTGTTTCGTTTTTCTGTTTTTGTCTTTCTGCTGAAAACAATTTGACAGTTTCTTTTCATTATCCTTCTTCTTATTATGTCATTTGTAAGCTAAATTGCAATGTGATATAACCTTTTCCAAATACTGAAAAATATCACACAATATCTATATATTGTGTTTTACAGAGTTGAGATCAAGAACTGTTCTCTCACCACTGTTACTGTTACCACAGAAGAGATCATTAAAATTTCAAGTGTCTTACAAGAAAAGTAGTAGAAACAAGTAGTGAATGGCTGTAGGTAAGTGTATTGTGAAATTCAGTACTGGTATCAAGACAATACTAGCAGAAATTCCTCTTTTTTTTGTAGGGAAGTGGCCTGCCACCATGCCTAATCAGTTAAAACCTTTGTCCTCAATTTCCAATTCTCAATAGGCTATAACAGGGTTTTTACATGTCATACACCAGCACAACCAAAACAAGTCTGTTTGCCCATGCGTCATGGATTTGCTGAGTGAAAGCACTGGAAGTGAGTAGGTGCTTGAATGTCTTTGAAATTAGGTCATAGCCTACTTTCACATGCTACAAGTGTTGGGTGAACCCAAACAAGTATGTATTTTTATATTACAAAATAAAAAGAGAAATTTCAAAATACTAAACGAGTGCAAGAAAACACTGAAAAAATTCACTTCTGCTATAATTTGTAACGCTACAATTTTAGACATTGTTAAAATGACGCATTCTGTAGGACAGAAAGAACAGAGGTCACTATGTTTATCTATTTATCTGAAAGGCATAAAAGTATAGTAATAAGAACAAAACCAGTGAATTGATGTTTTATGCTTTTCCCTTCAGAAAACACAAAACCAGAGGCAGCACAACACAGCTAATAATAGAGCCATGCCAGCAACACCCTGAGTGCATGCACAGTGCACACTTCCTGTTTCATTTGATGGCTTATGCTCTTTGGGGGAGGGTTTGGCACACATCAATTATGCACAGTGAAGTGCTCATCACACCATACACTTCCAAAACTATCTCACAGAAGGTTACATGAACTTTGCCTAACACAGCTTTAAGCAGTACAAGAAATGAGGGGAAAGGGATCCATAATTTTTACACTATATAAGAATTTTCCCCCTGCAGCACATGCCAATGTCACATATAATAACCAAGGTTGGGTGATAAGAAAATATCACATGATACTTTTTGACAACACATGATATGTATCACAATACTGTATTTTTATGAAAAAATTGAAATTAGGACTAGGTCAATAGTTGAAAAACAAATTTGAAAAATTGATAACTTGTGAAAAACAACAGATCAATAAATATCTTTACTATTATTATTATTTAAGAAGCATGGGTTTATCAAGCTTTGGTGCCACGATTTGCAGTTTGTGTTGAAATCTCGACAAAAACAAAACAACAAAAAGGTCAGTGTAGTTTGCAAGCCAGTCAACTCAATAAGCACTAAATTAAAGGGGACTTCCACCATTTTTTAAATTTCTGCACAATTAAATTTTAAGATCTTTAAGTAAACAAAGTCATTCAGAGTGGTTTACTGAGTCAGAATTGTTCACAGTGGTGGTGATAGAAGCTGTTAAGTGTCTCAAAAAGCTACAGAAGAATGATTTGGCCTAAAATGTATTTTTTAAAATCTATTCAGGGCAGAGTGGTACACACAGGGTATTATGAGGCAAAATAGTTCCCAGAGAAAACCTTTTTCAAGATTTTACCATCATCAGCATTACACAAAGATGGTTATTTTTAATAGTAAATTAAATGGCTATATTTGTGTTATAGACATCACAACCCTTGTTTCCTATCAGCATAACTGTAAAGAGCCAGTAAACTCCTCTATAATAAAATCTCTCAAATTAAACCACTCTGAATGACTGTTTACATCTTAACGATTGAATTATGCACAAATATAGAATTTAGATTTTTTAAAACTCCCCTTTAATCATATAGTGCTGCACACTGAGTTGTTAGACCTTAGTTGACTCATTAGGACTGGTTAGGTAGGGGAGGAACTGTTGAAGGAATTGTCAGCTAATGACAAACAGCATAACAAATTCTCTGACTCTTCAAACCGTGTGCTAACACTCAATCATACGGTCTTTTAAGCAGCTGGCTGACTAAAAATGAAGCAAAGTGATGCCTACAAAGCAGGGAAAGGCTATAAAAAGTCAAGGCAAGATCTGGAACATCAATAAAACTCTCAGATGGAACTGCTTGTATGCTTGCCAAAAAGGCAAAGCAAAACTCCCACATGACCACAAAGGACCTGCAGGAAGGTTTAGCGGACACATGAGTAGTTGTTTTCATAACATGATCAGCATGGAAGAGCCATCAGAAGGAAAACTTACCTGTGACCTAACCACAAAAGGCAGCATGTGAAGTATGCAAAACAACATCTAGGTAAACCAGAGGCATTTTGGAAGCAAGTGCTAAGTAAGAACTAAGTAACTCTATGGCCAAACACCAAAGATGTGTTTGGAGGAAAAAAAGGAGCAGCATTTGATGCAAAGAACACAACGCCAACTGTTAAGCATGGGGTGAATCTATTATGCATTTTATGCATGCTTCAAAATCCACCATGGATTACTTCAAGAAATGCAACGGAATGGCCCTCACAGTCCATTGACTTGAACGTCATTGAAAATCTGTGTAGATCAAACATGCTGTGTATGAAAGCAGACCCAAGAATATCACAGAACTAGAAGCACTCTTCTGAAAAGAGATGAAAGCATGTAGCCATGCAGTATTTTCTATGGGTATTTCTGTTTGTTAGTTTGTTTTTCTGTTGGTCTTAATGTCTTTATCACATTTTCCTAAACGTAAATTAGGATGGTTAAGCCTCATGATCAGGGCTATTATAAATGAGCTTTACGTTTTTTTCTTTTTGAAAACAAACCTTCTGTTTAACACAATGCAACATCCATTCAAACATGAACATTATGTTGCTTTGGGCAGCTCTATGAAGTAAAACTAATACATCTAGCTTATACTGAAATATTTGTATATCTAAACATGTTTTGTTTTTCAGAGGTATACTTTTAAATCATTCCATGCCTTGGCCTTAAACATGCTTGTACGAAAAAAAAAGTTCTCAAAATTTTTCATGTTAAGACTTTTCTTTTTTTTCACGTTTTGTGCAGTGCCTTGGTTCCCATTTTCTATAGAAGACAGTATGTTCAGAAATGGCATGACTGTAATTATTAAGTTAGGAAAGTGCTATGGCACTTAAAGAAATGTGGAAAGGGGCTCTTTGGCTCTATTCCGTCCCCTGTCGGTCACTCACCACTGCATTGGCAAAACTGAATAGACTGGGTAAATATACATGTGCTTTAACAGAAACAAACAATAACTTATATTAAGGTGGATTAATATATATGGCATATTTCATGTTATATGGTAAGTGTTGCAATAAATCACCTGTTATTTGTTTCCTCAAAGAGTTACGTGGTAGAACAGTTATGTACTGCACTTCTCTATTTCATTTGGTCACTTCATTTAGAAGACCTCAGGGAGATCTTTGTGGCTCAAAACTATTGAACTATTGAAAACCGTCTGACACAAAGCCCAATACCATTTGTGTTAAGACTTTTCAGTGCTACAATGTCATTTTAAATGTCATTAAACACATACCCAATACTGACACAGTCTAGCCATTACTTCTCAATGCCATAAATGTATGTATATGTTTAAAAATTACCTGGTAGCTGCAGTAGGTAATTGTAAGGTTCTAGCAGAATCCTCTCAGTTGCTACTCCCTCAAGACCATCCATCCCTTTATATTTCCACAAACTGGTAAAATCTGAAATTGTAAAAACAAAATGTATGAACAACAAAAAGACACAAAGCCTCTCTTAGTCTAGTTAGTTTATAGAGTTGGAATCATTTGCTGTATTTTTCATGTGACAAAAAACTTCATTTACACAGGACAACCATTTACTTATATGATTTGCAAACTCCAAAGGCCCTGGCAGAGTAACTGTGGCAACCACTGGCTTAAAAAATGCAAACACTTTCAGACACTTTGCACTTTTAAATGACAATGACTATGGAGAGTAAAGAGTGGACTGCCATCTTAAAAAGAACCATGACATATACAGAGTGCAATATTTATTCAAGCACTGTATTCACCAATTTCTAGCCACCACATTTAGATCATTGATAATATTCACTCATGAAAAACTGTACCACACAACACAGTTTTTGTTAAAATACCTACATTTACAGTGCATTACTAATTTGAAATGATCATTTTTGCATAGGTTTTTTGACAACTAACCAAGGTTTTTAGAAATAAAAATGATAATTTTGCAGAATGTTCTGCTAGCAAGCTAAGTGCTTTTTAATAATTTAGGTCTTTCTGCAAACATAATGTTCGCACTTTCCAAAACATTCAACTTTTGCGTCATCAGATGACAAAATAATGTGTTAATGGTGCTTTAGAACATTGAGTTGGCATTCAGCAATGTCTTTTTTTGGAGAGCAGTGGTTTCGTCTGTGATAACCTCCCAAGAGCTCGATCATTTTTTCAGGGATGCACTGATATGGAATGTTTGGGTCAATATGATTGCCAATGATAATTTATTGAGGCTTATAACAAATATTAGTTCTGAGTCACAAATACCATTCAAACTCATCACAAAAGTCTGATGGTGCTCAAAGTCCTATTGCTCAAACACTGAGGAGCTTTATGACCATAAACATTTGGCATCAGGCATACAGGCTCACAGACAAGCCTGTTACCAAGGCTCACATACAGCTGTTCCAGAGTGTTCCATTCTATCGGCCATGCTTTACTCTGGAGATTATACAAGTTGTGCTTGCACAAATAACTGGCTCCATCACCACTGGGTGCACCTTTAAATAATTAGGAGTGTCCAGAGTTTGACCTGCAGTGTATACAGAACAAAAACCTGAAAAATGTTAAATGATAGTAAATGCATTTGTCTTCACTCAGTCCCAACTTCATCTTTCCACTTTCCCAATAACTGTTTCCCAAGAATTTCAAATGGAAATGTGCATACTCTTGCAGTTATTTGCCATTGTTTGAGCACCCTTATCTAGTAAAAGGAAGTGATCATGATGAAGTCTACCATCTTTGGTCCATTACAAAAAGGAACTAGTGTGTGCAGCAGCACAGATAACTGACAGTTTACTTGTGACAGTGATTCATTCAGCTCCTAGGCTTCTACCAACAATAATTTAGCAATCGATTTATCGAATTAATTTTAACCATGCGCTGATTAACCTAAATAATTAATTTTCATTATATTAATAAAAAAAACTCATCCCACAATAAAATCTAAGATTGACTTAAAATATTTTGAAGCTGTAGTAAAGCTACAAGCTAAATACAAAAAAGTACACTGCCAAACATGACTAGGCTACAGTAACAGTTGCCTGTATGTAACATAGTAAGATTTAGCCATATTTTTTATTTAAGCAAGACGCTTAAATAATAGGCTGCTAAAGTGTGATTTATTGAACCTCTAGTAAGAAGTACCAAACCACAGCAAGAACAAAGTTAGGTTATAAGTTTAATTTTTTAATTTTTCCAGTTTCAGCAGTCTCCTCTGTCGTGTTACCACATTATGTGCCATGCTGGAGAAAGAGAGACTTGAGAGAGTTGTGAGACATGAGGAGTAGGAGTATGATTTTAAAATGCTTTGTCTACTTCTGCTAATTATGTAAATGTAAGGACAATGTGTTTTCGAATGTTGATTTGTCTACTTTACAATTGCAAAAAGAGATGAACAACTTTGTAACTTTGTGACGCACCAAATTTCAAGACACCTGGCCGAAAACCGAAACAGACTGTTTTTTTTTCTTGCTGTTTTATTCATATTTTTGAATAAAAGTACTAAACAAACTAATAGAAATACAAAGTGCATATTTATCATTGACAAAATCTGCTTTCAATATAAGATGACACTGACAGGTGATCACAGAGGTAAAAACATCAGTTAAACTATGTGAAGGAAGACAATAGTAAATCACTTTTGTACTTTCCCAATAAACCACATGGATAGACGAAACAGAACGACTGCCAGAAAATAGGACCCTCAGGTCTAAAAGCCCTCAACTTGTTAGCGATGGAGAGCTGAGTATTCCTCAGAGTACAGCTTTTGTGTATGATGTGGCTAAATCAAAGAGTTTCATTGAAGTTGACAAGCAAGAAAAGAGAATTCAAAGCTACAAAAACAAAATCACATGAAACATAAACATGAAATGTACTGTGGAGATGTTAAACCCCATGAAGAGGATTTTGGGTTTTACGTGTGGCTTACTGGTAAGGTCTGCAAGGGAGAGCCAACCAATAGGATGAGCAAGACTAAAAGTAGAGTGCACGAACAAGTAGTTTATTTACACGATGTGAAAACAGGAAATAAAAACTGTACAAAACGAAAAACAAACGGAAAGTAAAGTATTTACAATATATACTAAGCGTCAGGCTTAGTCGTGGCATGGGAAGCAGCTGCAAGGCTGGGTCCCAACTCCTTTTATAACTTCCCCCACACCATTACTTAAGACACTACAAGCTGCTAGTGTTTTCCAGTCAAACAGAGTAATGGGGAGAAGTAGCCTTCTCTCTTAGGAACCCTCGGGTTTTAAGTCCAAAGCCCTGCCTTCGGAGATCCCATTCCCCACCATGAGGTTACAACAGTGTGGTTTACACATGAAACAAATTACAGCGCTATATACAAAAATTAAACAATTCATTACCGGTATATACATTGTCTGGGCCCATTAACTTATAACAAATTAATTATTTTCTTTTTCCTCCCACAGGATATTAGATGAGGAATAGACCCCCCCTTTCTCCCCATTGGTGGATCCTCCCGATAAGGATAAGGTACGTAGGTCTCCCTGCTGTCCCCCTTTTGCTAATTCTCCTTTCACAGGCAGACACAGGTAAGTACATCTATACACACACATATTTTATAGCGCAAGGAATGGTATTCACTGGTGATGGGGTAGGCCTCGCCTTACCACATCACATGTACAAAGCATGAATCACAGCCAGCTGGAAGTACTGAAGATGGAAATGGATCGTCTACTTATCAACAAAGGCCAGACAGTGCGCAGTGGGCAGCTCTGTCGCCTCACAGCAAGAAGGGCCTGGGTTTGATTCCCCATCCAGGTGACCAGCGACCTTTCTGTGAGGCGTTTGCATGTTCTTGGTTTTCTGTGTAGGATCCCTCCCACAGTCCAAAGACATGCAGTCAGGTGAATTGGAGATGCTAGGTGTGAAAGTGCCCTGTGATTATCTGTCCAGGGTGTTTCCTGCGTTCCAATGACCTACCACTCAGTGACCGTTGAGATAGGCTTTAGCACCCCCTGGTGATTGGAGACCGGAATACTAAGGTCAAAAATGAAAATGAGAGAAGTACAGTTGGACAACACGGCCTTGGAAACAGGAACGAACCAGGACAATGACTACATCAACTTCTGTGAATACAATGACTTTTTCATTGCCAACGTGTTTTTCGAGCAACCAAAAGGACATCTATATACCTAGACATCATCAGATGGAGTTCACTGGAACCAAATAGACTGCATTTGTTGCACCAAGAGATGGAAGAGCTCCATTTTAATTGCAAAGACATAGCCTGGAGCTGATTGTGGAACAGATCGCAAACTTCTTAGCTTCAAATGAAGTTTGGGGAAAATCAGACTTCCAAGATATGACGTGGAGAATGTACCACCTGTCTTCAAATTAATATGGAATCAGTTTCAAATGCTGGACATAACTGATAGAGAACAAGAGAAGCTTTGGATGGAACTCAAAGAGGTCGTCAATAAAGAATCAGAGAAAAACTTGGGAAGAACGAGAAGGAGACAGAAATGAAAGAGGATGACTGATATTAAAATATCAATTTCAAAAGAGAGAGAGAAGCCAAAGTCAAGAAGGACAAAGATCTTTAGAGAACTAAATGGTGAATTCCACAGACCTGCCAGGGAGGATACTACATCATATACTACATCATCTGTAAAGACGTTGAAAGGGGGAACAAACATGGAAAAACAGGGATTGTTTTTCAGTAGATACAGGACATCAAAAAAATTCCAGTCACAATGAAACAATAATCAAAAAAAGATGGAAAAAATATACAAAAGACAAATACAGAACCTTTAGTGCTAGAACATGAAGTCAAACAGGTCCTTAGATCGTTGTCAAAGAAGGAAGCAACAGGGATCAATAACACTGCAACAGAACCACTTCAAGACTTTGAAGATACAGTTAAACTTGAAGTCAGTTTATATTCCAATACCAAAGAAAGGAGACAAGCAACAGTGTGCAAACTATTGCACATCTTCCCCAATATCACATGCCAGTAAAATTATACATAAGGTCATTCAACAAAAACTAAGGCCTTACGTCGAACTGCCAGATGTGCAAACAGATTTCAGCAAAGGAAGAGGAACAAGAGATAACTGCAGATGTATGCTGGATTATTGAAAAAGCCAAGGAGTTCAAGAAGAAAATCAACGTGTTTCACAGACTACAGCAAAGCCTCCCAATTGTTAAGCACCTTAAATTATGGAATGTCCACAGGAAAATGGGAATACCACAGCATCTCATCATTATAATGAGAAATCTCTACACTGATCAACAAATGATGGTCAGGACAGAATATGGACAAACAGAATGGTTCCACATTGGAAAAGGAGTTAGACAAGGCTGCATACTATAACCAGAAAAAGATACAGTGGAATATTTTTTTTTGTTTATCAAAGTACAAACAGTGTAGATGTACCCCCAAAGGTACAACAATTGTTTTAACCCCTTAAATGGCCAGG